AAGATTATGGCATTGGCAGTATGTGTGTGTATGTGTGCTCTTAGTTCTATCATTAGCCTATGTGGATCTGATTTTCTCATTTGTAAAATGAAGTTTAAAAGCTAATCTCTGAGGTCTCTTTCAGCCCTAAAAGCGCTGATCCTGTGTCAAACCCAAAGAATGTGTGTTTTTGTTGCTGTTGTCATGACAGCATATTATGACAGAATATCCTAAATTTCCTGATAATAAAATGATTGCTTTGTAGCAGGCACTTTCTAGAACTTTATATATATTAACTAAATTCTTATAACAACCCTATGTATTTGGAACTCTTATTCTTACTATTCCCCCTTTTACAGATGATGTAAAAGAGAGAATATTATTTTTGGTGGATTATTAAAATGCTGTTATTTTAAAATAGCACTATGGAACTGTCCTCCTGTTGTTCATCAATTTGCTCGAGGGGGCCCAGTAACGCCTTCATTTTGAGACTTGTTGTTACTGTGTTTGGCATATTAAATACATCACGGGGAGCTTACCATGACTAAAAACAGTCAATTTTAATAACCAGTGAGAGAATAGTATCTGGCAAATGATTTTTGAAATTTGATTAATTTGAGCCTTTTAGACATAAAGGAGGGAAGGGGGAGGAAAGGAGAGGAGAGAAAAGGGGGAAGAAAATCATCCAGAAGGAAGGGGAAGGGAGGAAAGAGGAGGGAAGAGGGAATGCTTCAAATTCCCTTTCGGCCTCAAATATATGAAGCAGGAAGATAATCAAGGCTTGGTAAGGTTCATGAATTTTGTCCAAGAATCCCTTCTTAAAGAGCAACAAGATATCTGCTTAATTTTAAAATACCTTTAAATTTAAAAAGAATGAAAATGAAATGACACATGTCTTCAAGAAATTTTTGAGCAATGCATTTTGAATAATTATTAGGTTGTATTTGGACATGTTGAAACAAGATAGTGACCAAAAAATGACTACCCAGAGAATAGATTTTGCTTCTTGGTAAAAATACAAAATAGAAATATCACAGTAACCAGTGTATGAGGAGCAGCTGTACAGGTTGGCTAACTCCAAGAATTTCTGTACCTGTTAGGATTTCCTACCTGTTGGTGCTCATGGCTCCATTACCATCTCTCTTTTTTCCAGCCCTCCTGAATGGCACAGATGTCATTAGGAGAACAGGTGGCACAGTGGTTTGAGCAAGGTCTGGGGTGAGATGCTAGGTGGCCACCTGGGACAGGTTACTTAACCCGTTTGCATCTCCTAATTCTCATTTGTTAAACATAGATGGGGATAGTGGACTCCTCCCAAGAAGGTTGTGAGGATTCAAAAAGCTTAGAGCTGTGTTGCTATGTGGTGAGCCTTACGCAGTTTTTTTTTAATTGTTTCTGTTCCTTTATAGGCCTGGTCTGTCTGCACTGGACCTTTATAGTTCTCTTTTCCTTCAATTTTTCTTCATGGTATTGAGTCCTATTTTATCTTTTTTTTCTTTTTGGGTCACACCCGGTGATGCACAGGGTTAGTCCTGGCTCTGCACTCAGGAGTTACTCCTGGAAGTGCTCAGGGGACCATATAGGATGCTGGGATTCGAACCTGGGTTGGCCACATGCAAGGCAAAAGCCCTACCCATTGTGCTACTGCTCTAGCCCCATCTTTTTTTTAATGGTATAGGTAGAGGATATTTATTTGTTTATTAATAAGCTGTGATCTACAAAGCTATTGTTAGTTGAGTTTTAGGCATATAATATTTCAACACCAATCTCACCCCCAGTGTCCACCTCTCTCCACCAGTGTGCCCCATATATCTTCCCCACACCTGCCCCTACCCCATTCCCATCTGTCAGCTTGACAGATATATTTCACCACATTTCAGTGGTTGCAGCTTAGATCTCATGGTTTAAGTTTTGTTGCATCTGTGTTTTGGATGTATGACTGAACCACTCACCCATATCACTGGTATAACTAAGGCCCTGGTGCTTGTTCACCCATTGCTTCCCATTCTTCCCTCCTTGATTTCTTTCCTTTCTATTCTCCTCTCTAAACACTGGTGACTCCTATTTTATCTTGAAGACTTAGCTCCATGCTGGCTCTTAGTTTGGGCTGTTTTTTCACAGGTCTTTAGTCTGATTCACATCTGCAGTTTTTCCATCCATCTGTCTGTAACTTCAGTCCTAACACTCCTGACTTTCAGTAGGATTACTATGATCAGTTTCTTTGTTTATGCTGGCTCTGAACATGAAACATTTCTTTTCTTTTCTTTTTGATTTTTCATATATGTGAAGGGAGATACTGGGTGAAATACACATTGAATGGATAAATGAGCCATTTCCCTTCTGTTCTTCTCTTTTTCTTTCCTTTCTCCCTCTCATTCCTTTCTACAGTCCTTCCTTCTGTTTTTCCTTTGTACCGAACTTCTTCCTTCCTCTCACTTTCAGACTTGGCACTGATATTTGAGGCATTCCCTTATTTAATTACTCTCAGAGACCCTTGGAGCTCGTCAGAATGATTATCCCCATTTTGCAGATGGGGAAGCGAACAAGGAAGGGATAGGTAACTTGCCCAGGATAGGGAAAATCCCCTTTAAAAGGGCCCCCCAAATTCTTTCAGTGTTGCTGCCTCTGGTCAAAGAATTTTGATCAAAAGTTTTTGGATTCCCTTCTGGTCAGATGATGAGCCACATTACAAAGAGTCTTTTATTCACTCTCAGAAAACATGATTACTCTAATTCATTAAGTTTGTCTCTAGGAAAACCAGGAATGTCTCAGAAATCCAAGTCACTGTAAGATACCGCAGGCTTGTCAATTGGTTGCATGTTCCACTCCTCTGAGGCTTGGTAGCAGCTACATCACTGAGCCAAATCAAGGTTCTTGATGCATCTCTGGATTTTGTTTTGAGTTACTTTAGGAGGCTAGTAGAAGAAGACTACATTAATTTATAATATTACCTCATTTGTAGTGACAGCTTTATTTATATTAATTTGTATATTGGCTAAGTCTTTGTTCTTTTGTGTTAAATTCATTGCTCTTCAGTATGTTCAAAAAGTAGTGTGATCAGTGTTACTGTTTAATTCCAGAGCATTTTTATTACTTTGGAAAAGACTTACTTTTCAGTAGTTTTATTCCCCACCCATTACCCCAGGTCTGTGGTCGTCGTTAATTTATTTTCCATCTATGGATTTGTTAATTCTGGCAATGGAATTATATATTCTTTGGTAATTTGTGACCGGCTTGCTTTATATAGCATGGTGTTTTCGAAATTTAGCCATGTTTCAGTATATATTAGTATTTCATTGCTTTGTATGATTAAAAAGTATTCCGTTGTGTGGATATACCATGTATTTACTTATTCAGGAGTTAACTGACGTATAAGTTGTTTCCACTTTTTTGGCTGCTCTCAGTAATGCTGCTTTGAATATTTGTTCTGAGTTATTTGGTGAATGATAAACATAATGTGATATGTCCTTATATGGAATTTTAATTAAATGCATGAAATACTGATATATGCCTTAACTAGGGAAAATTCTTGAAACTTGAAAGCACGCTACGTGAAAGTAAACTTCTGATTATGCAATTCTGTTGATATCTAGATGGCTAGAAGCCATAGAGACCAAAATAGTGGTTTCCACAGCCTGGATGAAAGAAGGAGATGGGAAATAATAATAATAAAAGATACAGGGTTCCTTTCAGGGATAATCAAGGCATTCTAACATTTTGCATTGAATACCCAAAGGCAGTAGAAACAAAGAACATGAGAACTGGTCTTTAATAGGAACCTTATTCCTAGAGGTGGGGAGTGACAGGACAGGGAAGGGAACATTAAATTGATATGCATGATACTCTTTCCAGTATAGTATTGCGAATCACAGAGATTAAAGGATAATGGGGCAGGGAACCATTCCTGCCACAAAGGCAGCCAAGGGAGTAAGAGGGAAACTGTGGACACTGGTGGAGGGAAGTGGACATTGATGAAGAGATGGTGTCGGAACATTGTATGCCTGAAACTCAATTATGATAACATTGTAATTCATTTGACTCAGTAAATACTAAAATCCATTAAATTTTGCCCTCTATAAGAGTGACGTAGTAAAATAATAGAATTCATGATCCTTATATTAAATCTTATACCAGTTACTCTACATTCTGTGAGGTACTGTGACACAATGGAAAAGGATACTTATTCCTTGATCTCTAGTAACAATCCAATGTGTATTCCTCCATGGAAAAATGAAATATATACCCACAAAGAGTTTAACCAAGACATAGCATCACTCAGTGCTAGTTTCTAGGTGTGGCTACACTAGAAAAATTTCAGCTCTCCCGGCTCCAGCTGTAGTTTAGACCTGGTGTTATCTGTGTCTTACAATACTGTGACTTTATAGCAGGTAGGAGCTAATCTTAATGTGTTTCTTGATCAATGCGTCTAGTGTTATGCCTGGTCCACAGGCAGGAGCATGTGTTTGGTGAAAAAGTCACTGCTGTTTTGGAAGCCTCTTGACTCCTGGAAGCAGGACTCAACTGCATTCAAGCTGTTGGTTGCCTGCTCTGATCAGCCTGGGCTTTGGCCCTAGGGGATGGTGTGTTGCAGAATACAGCAACTGCTTTCAATGAAGGCTTTATCCCCTTCCTGTTGATAACTGATGAGTATCCTCTGATTTTGACTAAAATGGAGAACGGGATATCTCTGAATATTATGCGTTTCTTCCTGAAATGCCCAGGAGTCTAAGTTCCTGGGTTAGCGAGAGTTAGGAAAACAAAAAAGCAGAATAAACTTCACGTTTGTTATATCTTTTCTTTTCTTTTTTTTTAAAATCATGTTTATCAAACTTCAGTGCTATAGATTCTGTGTAGCTTATGGGTCTTTGCTATAATAAGAAAGTGTTTCTTTTTTTTCCCCTTTCTTTGTGAAGGTATTTTATGTTGATTAAGTTCTTTCTGTTAAATATCCTTTGCTTGCACTGGATTTTTCTTTGTGTTGATTTTTTGCTTCATTTTGTTTCATTTCCCACGCTGTTCAGTTACTGGATGCCAGAAGAACCAAGGTTTGTCCACTCTTTGCAGCTTGTTTGGTTTGCTCTGCACAGCCCACCTCCTTGTGTGTTTGAGTGTGTCTCTCTGTCTGTATTTGTTCCCTTTTGCTTGCAGATGCAGTAATCCTGTTTGCTAAACCAGTTCACAGCTCTATTTGTTAAAAAAAAAAAAGAAAAAAGAAAGAAAAAAACAGTCCTTGTTTGTGTCTACTTGTGGTGGATGCTATTAACTTTCATTTTTAAACGGAGACACATTTGTCACAGAAAATAATGGATAGTAGAACAAAGAACACCCTAGGAAACAGGGCCTACTGAGTCTGGAGCATTGTGGGCATAAAGCAGGTGTGCTTGTGAAAGTTCCCCTTTAACCCTTTCCACTTCCTCAATTAAAACTGTAGATGTATACTTTCCCTTGTGACTGACACTAATATATTGTTCTGTGTACGTACACATTTCTCTTTTCCTAAGACATTCAGAAAGCATCCTTGAATTAATTTCCCTCCCTTCATGTGCTGTGCCATGCTTCTGAAGTCACCCGGAGGACTGTACGGCTGGTCCTCTGGACCTCATGATTAACATCCCATCTTCATAGTGCGGTAGTAGCAGTGGACTCTTGACATTGCCATTGACACTTTGCCTCTTCTTTCTCCTCTCCTACTCTTATCTTTTTCATCACAGCACCTTCAGTTGACAATCCAGGCCCTCCAGGATGAGCTGCGAACCCAGAGAGACCTCAACCACCTGTTGCAGCAAGAGAGTGGGAACCGGGGAGCTGAGCACTTCACCATTGAGCTCACTGAGGAGAACTTCCGGAGGCTCCAGGCTGAGCATGACAGACAGGCAAAAGAGCTATTCCTGCTGAGGAAGACTCTGGAGGAAATGGAGCTGAGAATAGAAACCCAGAAACAGACCCTCAATGCCAGAGATGAGTCGATTAAAAAGCTTCTTGAGATGTTACAAAGCAAAGGTTTGCCGTCCAAAAGCCTAGAGGATGACAGTGAGCGCACGAGGCGGATGGCAGAAGCCGAGTCTCAGGTCAGCCACTTAGAAGTGATTTTAGATCAGAAGGAGAAGGAAAACATACATCTCAGAGAGGTAAGGACATCCACTCTATTCTCCAAGGTCGTGTTTCACAAGTTGAAACTACGATCAGATCATTTTCACAGGTTGGAAGAGTGTTGCCGTCTTAAGGAAATTCTTCATTGTCTTTTAACTAGAATTTTGCATCAGTATTTTTCTTTGCTCATTATTTATAAGTTTATTGTTATTCAGTGTGTACTCAGGGTCAACTCTCAGTTCTGTGACTTTCCCATGAATGACTGAGGATTTAAGGTCCTTAAGCATGTGCAGTTTCAATTTTAATGACTTATTGAATATCATCTCTCTGAAAAGAAAAAAACAAATAGGTGGCTAGCAGCATAATAAACCTAAGTATTTTTATAGCAGAATTGGAGATGCTTTGTAGACAGTAAAGCATATGGAAACTTCTGAATAAGATAGTAAAAGGTACAGACCAGTTTTGGATGTTTAAGTTTGAGATAATCTTTGTCTACATTTCCATTGGTCTAAAACAGAGTGTGCTGGGTTTTCTGAGTTCACATTTTATGCTTGATGGATTAAGTCACTTGAAGGTCTTTATAGGTAGATTCTTTGGCCTGGCACTACCATTGAATGTTGGACAGATCTATGACAATATCGGGCTGGATAGAGCTGAGAAAAAAATGCAGGTGACAGCCAAGATTTGGAATTTTTATAGCAGTTTTCAGAAATCCATAGGAAAAATGTGGTAGGCATAGATCTTACAAAAAATAGGATGAAATAAAATGGCATTAAGTGTGTTTTCAAAGTGTTCTATAGCAATAAATAAAAACAAAAATTTAAAAAGCTATTTTCTTCTAGACAAAACTGTATTTCTTGGCATTATAAAGCTGTTTAGATGGTCAGTTCATGTGAGTTACTGATTTGTTTGTTCAGAAAACATGGTTTTCCTGTTGCAGCTTGCAAAAACAGATGCTCCAAAAGTTTTTTTCTGATTGAGATTGTAAACGTTTCAGACATTTGTACAGACTTTTGTGTATCTTCAAACATAAGAACTTTCATGGTCATTAGTGTCTTGGATCTAACAATAGAACATGGTAATGATAATCTGATGCCAATATCACTTCCATTAAAAGGTTGATAAGAGTTACTTCCTTCTTGCTAGCAGTCTTTATTACCTATCAGCTTATATATTTTGGTGAAGAAGACTACTCTGTGGAAAGAACCTAGATGGTAAAGACTTGAGAGCAGTGGTTGGGGAAGCGGTGGGGGGCTGGGATGGTTAATACCCAGTGAGAAACTACCAACAAAATGGATTTGATTCCTGACAAAAAAAAGAGAAAAAAGAAAAAAAAGAAAGAAAGAAATGCAACAACCACTAGTGGTCTTGAAAGTAGATCCTTCTCCAGACAAATTTCCAGATGGGATCGTAGAAAATGTTGCAGAAAATGAATGTGTTTTTATTTTAAATTTTTATTTTTTAACTTTTTATTTCAAATTGCTGATTATGGAAGCAATTTATTACATAGTGATTGTTAGCTAATGCAGAGGAATAGAAACTAATCTTTTCCTCCTTATTCCATAGATTTTCACTCAGTTTAAAGACAAGAAACAATGATTATTAGCATATTATCACGTGCATATATATTGATTATAGACTTTAAACTTTTGGTTAAGTTGTCTCAAAACTGTGGTTCACAGGTAGCTATTATTGTAAGGGCTGCTGTTTATTTTGGGTGCTATGTAATTATGCTGCATATAGAGTAGGATTCTAGTGTTCTAGACTTCTCTAGATGCAGCACAGAATTTTGTTCCATTTTGTGGTTAGGTTGGAATCCCTCTTTTGTTTCTAGGTTCTAATCCTTGGTAGTACTTGATGATGTCTTGATTAAGTTGCATGGTTGCAAACATTTTAAATTAATTTAAAAACAATACCATTTCTATTTTGTGAAATTGATTTGTCCTCACAGTGGTATGACATTAGATTATTTAAAACCTTAAATGTTAGTCAGAGTGCCCATAGAGTACTATAGAAAATATAACTCAACATGTCCAGCTGGTTTCCTTGAGCCTCAGACTAGAATGAATGGATAGCACTTATGTTGGTTCATCAGGAAGGGAGAATGTGGAAAAGATGTATATGTAAAATAAACTCATTATAGACTTGACTTCAGTAAGCAAGATATGGAGACCCAAAGGGAATGGTTCTATGAGCAGGATTGCATTAATTTGGGGGAGTCCTTTGTTACATAGTTAGGAATTTTGTGATTGTGTTTTTTAACCATTGATAATTTGGAAATGGTTATTGTGGGAGAATTTATACTATGGAAATCAGTAAATGTTCCTCACCTCTTCCTTCCATCTCCTAATAGCCCACTTCTGAGTAAAATATCATTAAATGTTTACTCCCAGTACAGTAAGAAGAAACACTGAGGAATCAGAAAGTTAGTGCAAAATTATGTTTGTTTATGAATGAATTAAACACAAACTACACCCCCAGAACATGAATAGATGATTATATACAAAATACTGTGAAGAATAATTTACAGTTATATATTTAATTCCCACAACTGACTCCTTAATTCATTTAATTATTTGTCGATATATCAATCCTTTCAATAAACAATCTTTGATGATGTTTTGGAATAAGGAAATGAAAACTGATCAAGTTTGATTTCATGCTGTTTGCATTCTATCACTGTAAAATGAACACGAATTTAACCAGGTATCATGAAGAACAGAATAAAAACCAGTGGCCTAGTCTGGCCAACTTCATACTGGTTGGTTAGGGAGGGTCTTTTGAATGGATGGATTGTGAACTGAGACCTGAATAACAAAAGAGGCAGCCACTGAGGGTCTCAGAAGACTGTTCCAGTGTAATGGAAAGACCCAGGCCAATAAGGATTATTTTTCCCTTTTTAGTTTGAGGAAGGAATTCGCAGACTTTTAAAAAAAATTATTTTAAGCGTAGTGGTTTACAAAATTCAGGCTTTTTAAAAATGTAAATATATAGCAGTCATTTCTAAGAAGGAACTTGGGAAGACAGAATCTTGTGCTAATACTCTTGGTAAAGTACTTTGAAAGTACTGTGCTAGAAAATAAAAAAAATATGTGGCCTGCAAGATTTGTCATAATAACATATAGTTGATTCCCCTGGTCAAATAACTGGTTAATTTCTTTCATTAGGTATTCTAGTGGGTTGGAGCGGCAGCACAGTGGGTAGGGCGTTTGCCTTGCATGCCCAGGTTTGATCCCTCCGTTCCTCTCAGAGCCCGGCAAGCTACCGAGAGTATCCTGTCCACACGGCAAAGCCTGGCAAGCTACCTGTGACGTATTTGATATGCCAAAAACAGTAACAAGTCTCACAATGGAGACGTTACCTGTGCCCGCTTGAGCAAATTGATAAATAGTGGGAGGACAGTGCTACAGTGCTACAGTTATTCTAGGACACAATGTTTATTCTTAGCTGTTTCCATATTATCTACCAAGTTTTATAATGACTTTGGTCAGGGTATTTTTAAAAAAAAGAGTTGCTTTTTTAATGGAAAAATATGGCTGATCATTTGTGGTATTAAACCAGTTAAGAATAGCCCAGCTTGACTAAAGAAGTTGCCTGACATCTGTTAATTTCAATGAATCAAAAACAGGATTTTAAAATATACTTGAGGTTTTAAGTTTAGTGTGTTCCTGATTTCTTTTTCATTTAACGGGCTTCAGGCAGACGAGGGGTAGATGGTGTAATGCTGAGGAATGGGGTGCCAGTGGTTTTATGATTCATTCTCAGGCAGAGGTGTTGGATCTCATAGAAATCCCATCTCCAGGAATACTGGCTGTGTTTAGCCCATTGTTTCAGGAGATTTCAAGTTGGCTGGAGTTGCACAGGAGGAGTGGCTCACAGGTCTCTTTAGAGTCCTGTTGTCTTTCGGTGGTCTGGAAAAGGCTGAGGGTGAAACCACTTCTTCACTTGGCAGGAAACAACAACAAAAAGATTATGATCTCAGCTTATTTGAAAGACCAGAACCATTGCCCAAGAAACTACAATTGATGTGCTAATGTGTACTGAAGTGTTGGCCTAAACTCAGCATTACTCACTGGTATCAAGTGAAGCTTTTGGATACAGGTTGATTTGATAAGACGTTGTTAGATGTGGTAATGGTTTACCTTGTTCTGAGGCTTTGTCTGCAAAGAACATATTGTTCCATGTAAAGGTTTTAGTAATCAAGTACCCCAAATACTACTGATCTTATTTCTTAAAAAATGGGTTTATGTATGAGGATTCTCTTTTCTTTAGTTTCTTTGACAGATCTTTAGAAGGAAATCAGGAGTCCTTGGACTCATTGTACTTTAAGAAACTGGGAGGGATGGACTATATGTTTTTGTGACTCTGCTTGTTGATCTTTTGTGCTAATCCCCTCAGGAATATTACCTTTCTCTCTAGATGTGGAGGATCACAGTTGCTGCCAGTGCAATATAATGAAGGGGTAGGGTACCAGGACACTGAGCTGAGGCTTCCCTTCATGATGGGAGGTTTATTTATTAAAGCTGTCCTCAAGCCAGAGGGAAATTAAACATGGCAAAGCCAAAATCTATAAGTTCTGTTTTGTTTGTTGCATGGGCCACAATTCAGCTGTACTTTGGGCTTACTGCTGGCTCTACACTCAGTGATCACTGCTGGTGGTGCCCAGGAGGCCTTATGTAGGATTAAATTCAGATCGCCTCACCCTGGTACTATCTCTCTCTCCCCAAGACCTCAAAGCTCTTGGCTAAGGCTCTGTAATGTAGCTCAGCAATAGAGCACTTGCTTTGTATGGGTTAGAGGTTCTGTATTTGATCCCTGCATCCAACACACACACACACACACACACACACACACACACACACACACTCCTGACCAAACCTCTGTCTGTCAATTCAAATCTACCTTGTAATCTTTGTCCAAGCTCCACCTTAGTCCCCACCTCTCAAAACCACTAGGTCTTTTTCTTTAATTGAGCACATGCTTGTCTCTGGTTCTGCAGGCTAAGTCATAGTTTTGCCAGTGGATGCATCTCTAATTC